CCATTAAGATTGATTTGATTGTTTTTTTGTAGATTATTCTTMCAGTTAGTACAGGAAAATGTAATGCAATATCAAGACAGTGGAAATGTTTTTAAAATCCATATGCTTGATTCTTCACAGCCTCTGCTTTGAAATGTAACAAAGCCTTTTTTGGCGGTAAATCAAATGAACACGTGAATACGAATCATGCCGTTCGATTTTCAACAAATACGGCTATTAAATAAATCAAAGCAATCTGAGACTCTGCTTTGAACTGTAAATGTTCCGTGGTAAATGGTCACGGATTAGTTGTGTTACTAACTAGAAAGTTTTGGCGCTAAAACAAACGAACGCATGAATACGAATCATGCTGCTCGATTTTCCACTAATACGAGTAAATCAACGCAATCTGAGACTCTGSTTTGAACTGTAAACGGTCACGGATTTACTAACTAGAACGTTTTGGCGCTAAATCAAACGAACGCGGAATAAGAATAAGAATCTTGCCGTTCGATTTTCAACTAATACGACTAAATTGRCGCAATCTGACACTCTGCTTTGAACTGTAAACGGTAACTAGAAAGTTTTTGGCGCTCAAACAAACGAACGCGTGAATACGAATCATGCCGTTCGATTTTCAACTAATACGACTAATAAATCAACGCAATCTGAGACTCTGCTTTGAACTGTAAGGATCACTTTACTTTTTACAATCACATACGAAGTGTCTCTGTGATTACTAATTATCAAATGGTTTGGCGCCAACCAGTCCGCTCAAAGTCATGAGCAACAGAAATAAGACCGATAGCGAGCTGGAACCAGCTTATGGAATCAGTCTAAAACTGCCGGAACGTTCCGGGGTTTTTACTATTAGAATACATGAATAGGACMATAACATCAATTATTACAAGTTTCAGAAAACCTCCCGAAAGACTATTGAGGAGCAGGGCTGATGTGAAGTGATTTGCAGCCCGCCAACCCACTACGCGCGCTTTTTCAAGAGTGCAGTTTGTTACTTGGCCTTGTATATTGATGATAATAGATAATCGTACGACACAAAACAAGGACTCATCAGCTCCTTGAAAAACATATTGAGAGGCGAATGYTATTTTGGGATCACTTTACTATACAATCACATAAAGAAGTCCCTCTTTGTGATTACTAATTATCAAATACAATAACGTTGCGGTTTGGCGCCAACCAGTTATACTTATATCTAATTATATTCATAAACCTTGTAAGTAGTTTCTATCGTTTTTATATTTTACATTACGCAATTTAGTTTTGTTATAACTGGAATGTAATTACCAATAAATCTATCTATCTCTTCAGTTCCGCAACAAAAACTCGAACTTTTGAATCAGGAACACTCGCAATGATTAGTTACAGTAAAGACAAATCATACCCGATAAAACCAGGTTGGAAACGCGCCGTTAATAGAAATTGAAATGTGAGATAGTGTGGTCTAAAACGATCACTTATCACAAAAAAACATTTGTTACCACTAATTGGTATTTACAGTCGGCTGTCATTTGATAAAGCTGTCAGTACTGCATGAGCGAGCACATTTTATTTGACAACGTATTTGTGTGTTTGGTCGGTGTAATAATGGAAACAAGTTTTCGTTAGAAACAACTGCAGAAATCTTTCCGACCTGATTTTATAAATCCGACTTGTAGTTCACGATAAGTGGCTTTGATCGTTTGCACTTATCATGAGTGTGAATACGCATNCTCTCTTTCTCTCTGTCCATAATCATAGTCCGATATCAGCCATGTACGATCAGACTGAGCAGAATAATTGTTTCATTAATATATTATCATCCAATAACTTTGAACAATAGACATTTTGTTGTCGAGTAACTCTTGAATTTGGAGGACGAGTTTGCTAATATCTATTGGCGAAAACATAATAAATATATATGATTGAGTGAAGTGGTTTGCGGAAGCGTCGTTCCTGCTTGAAGGAATAAAAAAAAAAGAAAAATGATTGAAAACAGGTGCTTTTCAACAATGATAGACCACTGTTAGTCTACACACTCTGATTTCTAGGAAAATCAGCAAGAATATGAGTTATATAAAAAAGCTCTATTCTCAGCCATATAATCTATATACAAACATTATTATTTTTTTGGTTTTATTACAGCCAATCCCATAAACGTTGTTCAGTTGTAAATACAACAACAAAGTCATTTGCATATATCATATTTTTAATTTCTTTGAAAAAAAAAAAAAACAAAAAACAAACAAACAAACAAAAAATAAACAAAAACAACAACAACAACAACAACAACAAAAATTCAACACAAAGCTCCAAAAAAAAACTTCTTTGCAATGTCATAACACTTAAGTCGCTATTTATCTAAAGATAATTACAATTCTTCCTGCGAATATCAAAAACCTTTTAATGCAAATGACCATTGTCTTTGCCTTTTTACGAGTGACTCTAGTATGTTAGAAACCCATGTAAACAGCATCTAACGAAGAACAATACTTGAAATTTTCTCAGTCAATATTTCGAACACCGAACTTGCCACGTTTTTGAAATATTGCACGAGACCACGTTAATCAAAGTCCTTGCCGAATTCACGCACCTAAAACGTACCATCGATCAGTAGTTTATAATGTGCCAGAAATGGCATTCAGCTAAAAAAAGAGACTGTTTCTTGAAAGGACGACATGAGCAAATCTTAGATTGCGGGCCCACAATTCAGATCTCAGATCATCGACTACAGTGGATCCACTACAGTTCTGTAGGGGTGAACCATAAGAAAAGCGACCTTGTTTTTTTTGAAATTGCATAAAGGTATAGTTACATGTAATAATACCAAAATTAAGATATCCAAAATGAGAAATGTATAAACAAATACTATATTTAGCAATTGTTTAATATTTGATTGTGATAAGAGTTAAGTTACCATTTTACWACTCCACGTGACGTCAACATGACGTGCATCTTTTCAATSACGCTAAATAGTTTTTAARCGGGTCAAATTTTCAGTAAGTTAAATTGCACGTCTTTCTTTGCATAAKCAGATGGTTAAGAGATAGTAAGCCATACCTAATGGGGTAGTTATCTATAGTCCGTGATGTGCTTTATTGATTGATATCACWGACTACCTTGTTCGTGCACTTATAGCAAAACAAAATACTGATTCAGGGAGTGCAAATTAAGCTAATCATGTTTGTGACAGGTCGAGGTGCTTGCTTAAAAAAAGGTTCCTTACGATTGCTCTGCTAAAACTATTTACTTTCTTAAATAAGTCCACATAATGGCAGCAGCGTTTCTTTCCTTGTCATTCACTCGAATTCATTTTTAAAACCAAGAAATATTTGGCCACAAAAATTTAATACGACCCGTACAATAAGTAGTCATAGTTCTTGACATTGCAGTTTGCCTTGCGTGACGGATAATATATGTTAATYAATAAGTCAATGTTTCCGTCATGTGACTTTATGAACAGTCGATTTTTTGTGTCAGGGAGATTCACTATTACAAGATTAATCCCAACCAATCGATCAACGAAAAAAGAATATATGTGTACGTTATGCTGTTGATGCCAAGGTTTACGTTATCTCATCGAGTATCGTTGCGTTTAGTTCAAGCTCTCCGTACTCAGTCAACCGTTCCACTTAAAAACATCACAAACAACTCCTCAGAAAGTTATGCTCGTCCTATGAAAGACATGCCAGGACCTAAAGGACCACCGTACATTGGTTCAATCCATCGGTACATAATGGCAGGAGGGTTGCAGAATATGCACAAAGTCCAGCAGAAGTTGTTTGAAGAATTTGGACCAATATTCAAAGAAACATTATTCGGTCGAACGATGGT